CAGTAGATGAATACGTAGACAGGCAGACTGACAGGGGAACTGCAGTAAGTACCGATGAGACTTGTGTGTGGAATAAGCCCCGCACAACATCCATACCAGTTAAGGTGGAAGACCTAGATTATCGCAGAGATAAAACAACACCAAGGAAACCTGGTCCCCAACCTAAGAACTACAGACCACGTGAGAACAGTGAACAATACAGACATTCTCAGGATTCAAGAGCATTTAAAAAGGGTGAGGTGCTGATTTTCTTAAGGGGTAACCATTTTAATAATGGGGAGGGGCACTTGGGGAAAATGGATGTACATATTGTAAATTTTACTTTCTTCCCAACATGGTGGCAACATATTTCATTAACTAACAGCCTGTCGGCTGATATAGCTCCGCTGTATACTCTGAAAACAGATGGCCAAAAATATCTATTTACCAGTGCCCCATCGTAACATAAGAAACTTTGTTTGTATATAGATAAGTACAATTTCCTTTTCTGTCATATTGTTAGACAACTCTTTACCCACCACTTTATTTTAGGCAATAAAACAAAAGGGAAAAGAAAACAAGTCCCCTCTCCCTTATTCACTCAAATATGGATAGTAAATATGACTACATTTTTTCCAGGTATGTGAAGAATCTCATCCCGGTGCATTATTTCTGAAGTTAGTGAAAGATCCACAACTATTGCCTGAGACTAATGTGCCGACGATGCAAGAGATTTATACAACTTACAGATCTTCAGGAAGTAACATGATGTTTTTAGATTACTTAACCCAAAATACAACAGAGCAGCATGTAGAAATTCTAAAAAACCTTCTTCAATGTGATCCTGCATGGTATGAAGCCAGAAAGGGACGTATAACAGCAAGCATTGCTGACTTGGTGAGATCAGTGAGAGATGTTCACAAGTGTGAAACATTAGTCAGTAAGATTTTGGGAACTGCAAAACCTATTGAAAACAGTGCTGTAACTTTTGGTAAAGAAAATGAGCCGGTTGCAAGGCAATTATACTCAATTAGTGAGGTTAAGAAACACAACAAATTTGAAGTTAATGAGTGTGGACTAATAGTAATGAAAAATAAACCATTTATGGGAGCATCACCTGATGGCACTGTTAATTGTTCATGCCATGAACCAAAACTAATTGAAATTAAATGTTCTTTTAAGCACAAAAATATTGCTGTTGAGAAAATACCTTGCATAGATCCCAAATATCATTTAGAACTAGTTGATGAAACTTTGCATTTAAAGCAGACTTCCCCATGGTACAGCCAGATACAATTCCAGTTAGGTGTGACAGGTATAGCATCTTGTGATTTAGTTGTGTACACACGTAAAGGAATACAAAAAATACCTGTATACTTTGATGTGGACAGATGGGAACTGTTACAGAGTAAAGCAGAACTTGTTTTTAATACTGCTGTACTGCCATTGCTATGAAAATCACTTTGACCGCCATATATTATTCCCGCTTAAAATTCAGTGCAAATTTTTACACATTTTGCAAAATTTTCTGTACATTTCACCATAATTATGAATTATACAGATAGTATCAGATACTGCTTTTTTATCAAAAGGTTTGTAAATTATTATCAAGATTTCATGTGGGAGGAGCAAACAGTACAAAACTATTTTGTGCGTGGACCTACCTACCTATATTGTTCGTCAAACTTTTAGTTGTTACATGTTGTAAACCTACTCCAACTTGTATGATTACCTATATTTTCACACACTTAACACTCAATATTTATTGTGGTGTTTTTATTCAATGCAAGTAAGATGACAGATGAATAATGTATGTTTACTGACATGAATAAATTGTTACAAAAAAATCACAATGGAAATCTGTACATTTCTTTTAAAAAAAAATATTTTATAGTATTTAGTATGTATCTCTTGGTGTGCTACTCATGTATCTGCTACCTTGACTGGCTGGTCACATACTCCAGAATGATACAACACGTACAGCCAATGGTATGAAATCCTACGTTGTAAGTTTGGCATTCAAATTATATAAAAAAAAAAAAAACTTATTTCAACATTTAGCTTGCCTGCTGCTAAAATTATGTACACATTTACCAACTATAAAAACTAGTGTTGTTTACCTATTTAGTATGATAATTTATTCTAAAAATTGGCATTTAAAAGTATGGTAACAGTAACAACGAATTTGTTAACGGTGCATCATTCATGGTCATTAATCATGTGAACATATTCACATCATCTGAATTACGTGATTGCTAACCAATCACAATCTAGGATCAATATGTGTGACAATACAATGACTCCCACACAGGAAAAACATGCAATTTTAATCAGATTGGACCATGGCAGAAAAAAAAATTGATAAGTCTGAATTCAGTCAAACAATATGAAAGAACAAAAAACTAATCAGAAATCCAGATAATAATAAAAACTGGACTAGAAAATCATTACTGAAATACATATTTAGTACAAGTGAAGAAGACTTTTTTTTCTGTAATGGTACATTTGCATACAAACGTGCTGTAAAGATATACATTTGCATTCAAGCATCAGCAACTGTGTTTACGCTTAACTGCCTTTTTGGGTACAACTTTAGACATTTTCAATGCTTGTTCGTTTTTAGAATAAAATAAGGGTCCTTTGAGATTGCAGAATGCTGCAACAAGTTTAACAATCATTGATGCACAATCCTGTAAAGAAGATGGAATTTGGTGTTTCAAGATCCTCCAACATTTAACACGTTGGATTGCTCTTTCGACATGAATCTAAGGCGTGCTATTATCTTGTTCGTCTAATTTCATTAACATTAAGTCTTTTACCCTTCCCATTAAGCTATTTTCTGGTGAAGTAAATCTTCTATATGGAAGCCTCTATCAGCCATCATAGCATCTCCATCATCCAGCTTTTCTATCAGTCCACTTTGTTCTGTAAGATACTTGTCAGAAACATTTCCTGACCACAGGTCACATACAAATATGAATGCACGAAAAGGTGAAACCCCAAACAAAATGTTGTATGTATTGTGACTTTTATATTGTGAGTAAGTTTTATATTGTTCATTTTTGTTCTTTGGCCGATCAATAAAAAATTCAGAACAGTCAATTACAACACGGGTATTGGGGAACGACTTTTTAAAATCCAGTGGCATCCTTCTTGAATATTTGCTTGTGATGGCCAGACAAGTAATGCTGCGACTAAAGTCTGGTACATGTAGGAGATCCATGTGATTGTTATTCTTGTTACAGTTGAACAGCTTACATCGAACAAATCCGCTAGGAGGAGAAGTGGTAAATTTAGACGTAGTCTAATTAAGCACATAAGTAACTGGTAATAATGCGGCAACTGATGTTGCCTTTCTGGTCTTTGTCGCCCACTGTTATGATGATCAAAAGTACTCTCTGCACCTATCCAGTACTTTAGTTGATCAACACCCCCACTAATTGAGTCATAAACACCTACAACAAAAATAAAAACAAATAAAAATATAAAATATGAACAAATAAAACAATGCAGTACTGAAAACATTACCTTAAACTATGTATTGTCACCGCGGAAACTATATATGAAAACTGTACAAAAATAATAAACCAGTAGTATAGCAACACAAGCAATAACACGTATACAAAATTACAACAATAACAATTTCGAAAAAAGAAAAATTACAAAGTGTTTTAATATGAATGAATTTGATATTGTGAATGTCTCACCCTGGAGAATAGACTTTGAGTGCAATCCTGTATAGAAATTTACTCTCTCATCAGTCTCAGTTGCACAGTTGACTACACCTTGTCCTGGTTTTTTTGAAGATGGTGGTTTAGCTGTACTTTCTAGAACATTTACGTCATCCATGGTCATTGTGGTTTGTGTACTTATGTTAACCAAAATAGGAGATGCAGTATGGAGGTAATCATGATCCAGTGGTTGTGGTGTCTCAACAAATGGACAAACATTAAGCTGCAAACCTATATAAAAATAATGAAGACAGTTTGATATTCAGTAAATTGTTCACTTCAAATGTACAGTCACAAACGTTTGGATGCACAATTATAAATACGAATACTGCCTGATCACAAGCAGCTACCATATTTCTGTGTGAAATTAGTTGATCGTAAAAAACGCAATCCTTTAGAATATAACGAAAACGCTCTGGGATTCAGTGTTTGGGGACCACGTATCATATCATATACACATACTCGACATTAGCCAAACTAACTATACATCAACTAATTTGATTTACGGGCATCGAACGACATGTACGTTTAAAGTCAACAAAAAAA